AAGGTTTAGCAGCTAAAGAATGATAACGAGTCACAACAATTTCATTCGGTACGTCTATATAAATTCCTTTACCATCGTGCTTTATAGTTGAGGTTTTCCCATGAACAATTTCACCAGCATAATCGACCTTACCACCGAATACTTCAAAAATACATTGTTCACCAAGACAAACACCTAATATTGGAATATTTCCGGCAAAGGCTAAAATAGCATCCCGAGAAATTCCTACATTGGATGACGGAGCACCCGGACCAGGAGAGATTATTATATTTTTTGGATTAAGCGCTTTGATCTGTTCGACGGTAATCTGATCATTTCTGAAAACTTGAACTTCGGCACCAAGTTCTGAAATGTATTGATAGATGTTCCATGTAAATGAATCATAATTATCAATTATAACTGTGAGTGTAGATTTTGTTGGTTCTGATTTTGTTGTCATGTTTAGAAGTTTACATCAAAAAATTAATTTCCTAACGAATTAAACCTTTTATGTATTTTGAGAAAATGATTGGAACTTTAAATTTACGAATGTTGTACAAATTCACTGTAAATGACAATTCTGGGCCCCAAAAAGTAGGGGACATATTTTCTGTGTTCAATTGCTAGCAGGTTTTTGACCAGATCCAAGTTGTCCAAACAAACAAAATTTAAACAATGCGGTAGTGATGCACAATCTGGTTTTAATGTATGCTTCTGGTATGTAGATTATGTTATAGATCATCGCAGATAGTTATTTTCATAAAAGATTAAAACGCAAATTGTATTGATAAATTTTCAAAATTTGTAATATTCAGAACGTTTGTGAACAACCTTTGTTTATAAATAGTAATTACGTGATTCATTTTACCCAAGATCGTTGATTTTTTATAAAAATGATCAATAAAGAAAATGATTTTATAATTATCTCTAAATATGAATACTTCGTAAACAAATGTTAATGATTTTACTACTATTAGAACCGGAAAGAAGCTCTAGAATTGTTGCTGAAGATGAAGCTGAAAATTTGATTTTAATATAAAATTTAAAATTTTTAAAATGTTGAATGTTTTTTGTTTTCTTAAGGCTGTTAGGATTATGATTTTCAGCCTCAACCACAAGGATTTTAATTGCCGACATAAGTTTCACATTGTCAAATATTCATTTCAAATACATATAACCTATCAGGGTAGGTAATTAACCAAGCGGTTGACTTTTAATTAATCGAAACCGTTAGATTCATTATAAATTTTCACGCATATTAAAAATAACTATTAAATCATAATTTAGCATTGCATTCAAAAACTTAATTCATGAATACAATGATTTCATTGGTGAAGAGGGTATTTTATGCGGTAAGACATTATTTTCGGGGCAAAGTAATTTTGTGATCTATGACTTATCCCTTACTTAATATATATTAAGTAATATTAAATAATTATTACATTCTATTACTTATTATAAACACATGATAACAGTCGGAAGTGAGTGATAAAAACTGAGATTGAACGAAAAATTGCTGTTAGAAATAGAAAATTACTATTTTTAAATTCTTTATATTTAGATATTCGAGCTCATTTAAAGTGTTATAAACCGCACTTACAGTGCTTTTATATTTTCTAAGCTTTTACAAGTTTTATATATAGAAATTTTTGGCTCATTTTTTCATGTTAGGGTTTAAATATTTAATTTTAAGGTTTGGGAAGGGTTTTTGGGGCGTAGGACATTTTTGCATAGAGCACCACACATCACTGCAGGAATGGCAATACTTGGATATATACAATATCCGATTTGTCCAATACTAGCGTTATCAAGTACAGTACCCCTAATGTTGTTAGACAAATCTTTTTGCAAAATGACAAAAGACGAAACCTACCCCCTCAAATGACAAAACCTCTGGCGAAACTGACAAAACCTGCGAAACCTCTATAAAGACAAATTTCTTATCGATAGCGAAATATCTGATAAAAGTTAAAGCCCTCTATAAAGAATAAAGCCTCTGTTAAAAATAAAGCCTTAAAGGCTATGTTATTGTTTTGATTTAAAGTTATTATTTTTGGAATAATTTTGTATTAAAAACTTATCATTGTTAATATGTAAAGCCATTGTTTGGGATGCGAAGCCATTGTTTAGTTGCAAAGCCATTGTTCTTGTATAATTTTTAGGGGAAATTACAAATAAGGGCCCAAAATTGAAAATAATTAACAAAATTTCCTGGCATATTTTTTAAAAATTTATTTATAACCAACATCATGTCAGATACAAGTTTTGATAACAAAAATCTGTCGTCACCTACAATCAGACAAGCAGGACAGTCACAAAAAACTCGTTTATATAGTCGTGAAAAACAGCACCCGAAAACCAGGTCACTTATAGTAGATATAATAGGAAAGGTTATGATTCACGTACATGTAGTTGAAGATAGTATTGTACATTTTTCACTGTCCAAGGCTTTTTTGACCATGTCCAACGTCCAAATGTCCAAGAGTGTCCAAAGCATGCCCAAGCTCTAATAATTAATAAATTTGTCTAAAAAATATGCGATGGTAAAGGAATTTATATAGACGTACCGAATGAAATTGTTGTGACTCGTTATCATTCTTTAGCTGCTAAACCTT